CCTGGCTCTTCTTCCTACCATAACGCTAATCTAGAGCACTGTATCTGGAGTCACGGCAGCATACGAGCGAGAGCAGTTGTGGCTGGCCAAAGAGAACCTGATGGTGAAGCTTCAGGCTTGTGGTCGAGGCTGTCTTGTCTGTCAGGAATTCAACTCCAGAATGAGGTTTTTGAAGAAGCAAGTTCCAGCCATCGCTTGCATGCAGGTATGAAATCCCCTAATTCTGTTAGAAGCTTGTACTTGTCAGTTGCTCTCCACACGCACGCTTACTGACTGGTTTTGTTCAGCTCAAGCAGTTGCCACGCACAATTATCTTCATTATCTTCTCCCTGGGAATCACTATGTATAAATTACTTCTCTCCCTCTTCCCATGAGTCCGTGGGTTTGGAGAATTGAAGATGGCATTGAGAATTGTGCAATGGATGGTGCTTTTGGTTGTTTAGTTTTAGTCATTTGTTCTCTAGCTGTGTTTTGCCCTTGGTGGGGGTGCTGCTAAGTCCCTCACAACGACTGCTGGTGGTGGAAGAAATAGTTAAGGCTGCACTGCATATCTCTTACGGCATGTCTTGTAAGATGAGCATGTCTGTGTTACATCTCATTCAGCCAAAGGGAAGTGGAAACTGAGCAGCAGAAAGAAGCATCAAATAGTAAATTACTGCTCTTCACTTTGAAAAGTCGCCTTTTTTCTTGTGTGTGTTTTCAGTCCCAGTGGCGTGGCTATAAACAGAGGAAGGCATATCAAATCCGTTTGGATTACTGACGAGCACACAAGGACCAAGAAGTGAAGGTAGCAAATGCTATGTTTGTTTTTGTTTGTTTGTTTGTTTTTTGTTCACATTTTTGGTAGCAATATTTGTGGAGAGGAATTTTATCTGACCTGCTTTGGGATTCTTTCCTGTAGATTCAGTCACTGCCCAGGATGTATCAAGGCAGAAGGCGTTACAGAGATCACCTGCAATATTTCAGAGACCACATAAGAGATTGTGTAATGAATTCAGTGTCTGACACTTTTTTTTTTACTCTGCCCTTAACAAGTGTAAGTGGCTGTTTTTTTTTTTTCCCATTCTAGATAAATGACGTTAGAAAAGCTCAAGCTTTTATCCGAGAAAACAAAGCAGGAGAAGACTACAAAACCCTCAGTAAGTGTGGCCAAAAGAATAAAGCTAATATGCTTTGAATCTCTATTTGCAGAAAAATACTGTTAGTGAGATCTGCAACAGGAAGAGAGCTATGAAAAAAGCTTGAAAAAGGACCTCAATCTCAATGCTGAAAACCCACCTACGGCTGTGGTTGGGAAATTGGTTCACTTGCTCGATCGGACCCAGATTTTCAGGAGGAGCTGGAGCTAATGAAACTGTGTGAGGAAGCTGTGACCTTGGTCCGATCTAATCAACAGCTTGAAAATGACCTCAATCTCATGGACCTCAAGATTGGACTGCTAGTGAAGAACAGAATGACACTGCAGGTAGGAAATGCAGTGCTGGGAGACTAGGAGAGTGAATTGAGGCCAATGGCAGTTAGCATGAGGACCTTCTGAGCCTGGATCTCACTTACTCAGATTCAGTGGGAAATATTTCCCCCAGAGTTACAGGTTTTCCTCCCAGTAAGTTCCTAACTGTTCCACTTATTACTATGTATCCCTAGAAAGAGAACTGCAGCAGAAACATCAAGGCTTCAAGTATTTTAAAAACAAAGCACCAGAAAGAAACCCACTCGGGACCAAGGGAAAGCAATAGATGGTATGCTTGAAGGCTCTGAGAAGTGTTTGTCTCTTCACTTGTGGTTACGTGAGTCATGGACTTGCACACCTCAATTTCTGCTCACGTTTTGTGTGCTGTATCAGAAGGGGGAGGTGATTTTGGAGCAGGAAATGTGCTCAGGCTGCTTGGTGTTGGTTGGCTGATGGAAGCCCCCTCTGTCACTTTGCTGACGATTGATTGCACACAAGAACAACGTTGCTGATACAGCGGTGCCTTTTTTTAACTCAAGCTGAAGTTACAGTCACCTTTTCCTTTGGTCCTGAATAGCGTGGTGCTAGGCTTGACCTTGTGTAAAATCTGAACCATGGCAGCAGTAAAGCTCAGTTCCAAAGGAGGCTCCAGCTCTTGGGCTGATGCTGGCAGCAAAAAGTATCATCGTTATCAGAGCGGTGGAGGCAGGGAGTCAGCAAAATGGAAGCAGGGCTTGGGGCTTCAAGCACAGTTGAGAAAGAAAGGCATTTTCAAGCATCTTCAGAACGCTACCAGCTGTGACAGTAGTCCCTGCTCAAAGCAATTAGTCCTTGTAGGTTCTCAACCAATTCTGGAACGTGGGGACAAGACAGAAATCGCTGCTACAACAGATAATGTTTCACTTCATGATCTCCTGATGTACCTTGACTGCCTTATCCACACATAAGGAAGTGCTATCGTGCAGCTTTTTCCCATATTGCGTGTTATTTAAATGTGGAATCTGTCCCTCTGTGTTCTTTGCAGGATGTTGTTTCTCATAGCAAAAATCTTAGCAAGGAGAACAAGGAACAGCTCTCTGACGTGATGACGCTGAACGAGCAAAAGGGAGGTTTGAAAGCTTTGAGCAAAGAGGAGAGGGAAAAGCTGGAAGCCTATCAGCACCTTTTTTACTTGAGGTATGCAGCTTTTCATTCACTGCTCTTGTCGTAGATGCTTACGTGTATTGGAACAGTCTGTGCTTATGCTCTGCAGTGTTGAGGCGCTGTCTGTCTTTGTGGTGTTGGCTTTTGTGGACACGTGCTGTATGGGAACTGCTGAGTCATGGCCTGAACCTCTGATTGATCACCTGAGGCGAGCAGTGAGTCAGGCAGAGGAGCACAGGTGAAGGCAGTGCAGCTGTGCTGCTGGAAGGGGTGCAGCCAGGCTACAGCCCTCCTAGACCTGTTTAAGAGCTGGCTGCCAGTGGGGAAGGATCTCGTCTGGAGATCTGCTCTGCTGGAGTTTTGTAAGTGAGCCCAGGATAGGGGTAAGCCTTCTATTTATTCTCCTTTTGTTAGCTTAGTCTGCTTTGTCAAACTCTCTTGTTTATTTCATAATGACAACATCTTAATAGTCATTGATTATACACGTGCACTAAGTACTTTTTCTTCTTGTTTTAGACTACTCCAACGTACTTGGCCAAGCTGCTTTTGCAGATGCCTCAAAACAAACCCACAGAGTTCATGGATTCAGCCATCTTCACGCTGCATAACTACGCATCCAGTCAGAGAGAGGAATCTCTGCTGTTGCGGCTGTTGCAAACAGCATTGCAGGAAGAGATCAAGTACGTTGTAGCATAGGACACAGCCTTGCTGTTGCCTGAGTTTGGGCCGCTGCTAAAATTGCAGCTGTTGTTGTGTGATGTCCCGTGCTCATTAGCTGATAATGCTGACCTGTCCCTGCCTTCTGCTCATGCTGTTTCACGTCAGTCCTTTCTGTAACCTGGAAGGAGGAGGAATTACCTTTGTTCTTTAGGATTAAAGCCATTTTTCTTTAGCCAATGCTTTCTTGCTCAGGGAGGCACTATTTTTGATCTGCTGCAGCGCTTTCCTAAGATTCATTCCCATCTAAGTTCTCTGCTGTCTAGTAAGAAGGACTTGGAGCAGACTGCGAGCTTGGGCTTTACAGGCCAGAGTGAAGCTGACGCGAAGGTCACTGTTTTCCAAAACTGATGAGGAGGCTGAAAATCAGATGCTGTCTGGTTTGGGTTTTTTACTGGCTGTCAGGCTTAAGGATTCTGGCTGTCTGTCGGCATAATGGAGTTGATTGGCACTTAGGAGTTTGGTGTTTATGACTTCTGGCTGATACGGAGCTTCACAACTTGCTAGGAATAGCAAATACATATAATGTTGGAGGCAGTCATGCCTTTTTTGATGCTTTTAAGTATGAGGATGGTATGTGCCCTCCAACAGGTAACGCCTAAAAGGTTTGTTTAATTATTATTATCTTTTCTTGGAGTAGTAGTTCAGGAAAGTGCATGTATATGCTTTATTCTCTGCTGCTGGATTTCCCATAGCGGCATGCTATGAATGGCTTTTGTTGCTGATTGCTTACTTGTTGAAATACTGAAAGAAAATAGTTGTGCCTGTGTAGAACTCCCTTTGTTTCCTCTGTATTTTTGAGATGCGCTCTTTCAACCGTGGTGCCCGTGGTCAGAACGCACTGAGGCAGATCTTGGCCCCAGTTGTGAAGGAAATAATTGAGGACGAATCGCTCAACGTCAGAACGGATCCAGTGGATATTTACAAGTGCTGGGTGAACCAGATGGGATCTCAGAATGGTGAGGCCGGGTATGGAAGCTGTTGCTACCGGTTTTTTCTGAAAGTTGCTCAGCTGCTTTGCATTGCTCTATTAATCGTTCCAAACCATCCCTGGATTCATTGCATGCATCTGTCCAATGGATACCGGCTTTTTTCCATCAGCTCGAGATGGCTTTCTTCTGAAAGGTATAAAGATCATCTTGTGACAGGGTTATTGAGCCTATTAGAAGTGAATCTCATGAAGAGATAGGCCAAGAAAAGCCCCAAAGCATTTCTTCTGTGTTAACTCATAGGTACAGATACCATAGCTCTTACTCTACCAAGCCAATCTCTGCCCACAACTCGGGCAGGCTGCCCAAGGAGGCTGTGGATGCCCCATCCCTGGAGGCATTCAAGGCCTGGCTGGATGTGGCTCTGGGCAGCCTGGGCTGGCGGTTGGTGAACCTGCACGCAGCGGGGGGTTGGAACGAGATGAGCATTGTGCTCCTCAACACAGGCCGTGTTCATAGAATCACAGCATGCAGCTGTTCCTGTCTGCCCATGAGAAGGTTTCATCCACCTGGTCATCCTGGTTGGTTGGCCTGTAGTTCCCCCGCTACGTCATCTGTCCCTGTCCTCCCTTTAATCTGTGTCTATAAAGTCTTGATGGGCTCCCATCCGTCCCCAGTCAGAGTTCTGTGTTTCTTCCAGTGCTTGATGTTCACCAGATTTTGAGGGTTCTGTTGTTGGTTGTATTTGTTTTGTTTTTAAGGCACTTCAAGGGAAGTGGTGGAAAAGCAATGCTATGAAGTAAAAGACAACTGTCCCAGCGCAGCACGCTGCGTGAGTTACTATCTTAACACTGCAATGTGCAGCTTGTGTTTTCACTGATTTATTTGCGACCTGAGGTACTACTGCGTATCGCAGGTGACCTTCTTGACTCTAGAGAGCGTGTCTGCATGTGGTACAGAAAGATACAGTTCAGAGTTAGCTGGGCCTGTTCTCACAGCGACTGCTGCAGGGACAGCAGAGGACGTGAGAAGTCCTTTGCTCTTTCAGTGCTAGAATTCTAACGAAAGTGAACGTGCAGCTCTTTGCAGCCAGGTGAGCGTGGATCTGTTTGTATGTCAAGCCAAAAATTCTGCCTGGCACTGACAAAAGTATATTAGGCTGAGGAGTGCTCACCTTCACATCTGACTTTTCCAAATAGCAAGTTGCCGTACGATGTTGCACCTGAACAAGCTCTTAATCACGGTGAGGTGAGGACGCACCTGGATGCCTCAATCCGAGATGTGAAGGCAGTGACAGACAAGTTCCTGTCTGCCATCGTTGTTCAGCTGACCAAATCCCGTAAGTCTGGTGTGTCACCGCGTTATCCTGCAGCAGTTAATAGTGGGTTCATCCGTGAGGAATTCTCACTTGCCTTTTATTTCCTTCGAAGTTACGGGATGCGTTTCATCGCCAAGGTACTGAAAGACTCCCGGCATGACAAGTTTCCTGATGCTGGCGAGGATGAGCTTCTGAAGGTAAGGAGCTGAGCAGCTCTGTGAATAAAGACGCTTTTTTCAGGTTGCTTGTGAGGTTCCTGAATTGCAGTATAAGTTCAGTATTGATGAGTATTTTGGCTTCCTTCCTTGTCTGTCCCTTCTGCAGAGCTTATAGCCATCAATCTCAACGCGCCAGTCATGGGAGCAGTCCCACCATGTTTCAGTAACAGCAGCTAGATCGTAGTTAGCCTGGTGCACAATGGCTTCCAGTTCCTCCTGCTTGTTGCTCATGCTGCGTGCATTGGTATAGGTGCACTTGAGCCGAGTCATTTGCCTGACTCCCAGCTCTAAAATCGTTCCGCCAGGCTCTTCTCTTGTGAGGCCTGTACTGTCCCCTTCCCCCGTCATAATTAGTTGATTGCACAGGAAGAAAAGCTTGATGTCTGTGCCAAGGGAGACGTACACCGCACTTGCGCTGCCTGGACGATGTGGAAACTGGAAATTGTGGGGTGTGCTGAAGCATGCCCTCTCAGGTCAGTCTAAGCATCCATAGAGTAGACCTGTCTAGCAAAACAGGGAATAGACAGTTAAACCCATTCTGTTGGGAAATACTCTCTCCTTCTAAGTACCTTTAGAACGTGAGTTTCTTCAGTTAATTACTCAACTCATTTGCTTTTCCTGAATGATCCTAAGTTCTTTTCTCAGGCGACATCTGCACTCTGCTCAGTCCAAGGAGAAATCCCTGCCCGCAGATGCAATGACACAGCGTGGCTCCCAACCTCATTTTTCATTGCTTACTCTTATGGTAGCTGCCATCCATGTCCACCCTGCATATTCTTAGAGCTCTTCTGGAGTCCATGGGGCAGACTTATGGTTGAACTAAAGGGAATTTTTTTATAATGCTCTAGCTCCAGATGATTATCCCTAGTATCATTATATTAAAAAAAAAAAAAAGGCGTTTTGAAGTAGCGCGATATATCTTCTGTGCCTCAGAATGTGGCACGTGTGGCATGAGAGAGTTGTGAGGCCACGAGGACTGCCCAGACAGCATGAGAACTGTAAGAGCAGAGAGCTATAGGTGATGCAGCGCTATTGGTGCCACCCGCAGGAAGCGGTAGCTGGAACAAAATATGGCCAGAAGAGTGATCAGATTGCGTTTGGTAAGGAACTATTTCATTGGTTGTAGAACTTTGACAAAATGTATATTCAGGATGATGATCAGCATGCCAGGTGCTGGGACCATGCCGAAAGAGAAATGGTCTGAAAACGTCGGTGCAATTTGCAATATATCCCCTTCCACAAAGCCCTCAGATCCATGCTCCAGCTGCATCCAAAGCAACCCAGAGCCCTGTGCTTGTTGTACCCGGAGCTGTCGGTGCCAGGAGTTGCCGCTGTGTTTGCAAGGACGTTGTGTCAGCAGTGTGTCGTCAGTGGGGTTGTTTGATGGCAATGAAACCGCTGAATGGTGTACCTCAAGACTGAGAAAGAAGATGGTAGTGGTGACTGTGTGTCTAGGTATAGATAGCTTGATACAGATCTATAGGACTGCAGTGTGGATTGTACATAGGCCCTGCGCTGCGAGGTACTCTGTTGGGAAGCAATGTCCATCTGCCCGAGGGCAGGAAGGCCCTGCAGAGGGACGGCCTGAGGCCAGCCGTACGAGGCTGCACAGGAGCAAGCGCTGGGTCCTGCGCTGTGGTCATGACAACCGCATGGCAGCTTGTGCAGGATTGGGCTGAGGTAGAATTCCAACCGCCCACTGATTCTAGAATGTTGGGTGTTGGAATCTTCTGGTCCTGTGACATGGTCTTGCCTCCCCACCCTGTCGTCATGGCGGAGCAGCCTGGTGGCCCTTAGTGATGTCACAAGAGGCTGGAATGAGGGGAGGAGCAGTGCGTGCTGCGTCCCTTCATTGGAGCGCTTGAGCTCTGCGTGAGTAGCTCGCTTGTTGCCCTTGTGCAGCGACTGAGTGCCTTCATTTTCACCCCTTGTGTCTTGTGCAGCATATCTTGTAGGTAAGCTGAGACAGGGTGTGGAATGGACGGGTGGGCAGAGAGCTGTTGAAAACTGCTGTCTGGTGGAGCTCCTAGCAGCTCACACTGCTTACTCTTGTCCGTCAGACGTAACTTTCAGCCAGTACCTGCATTCCCAAGCGATCCACAAAGATGGCATTTGTCCCATGGCTTGTCCTTTGTTATCTTTGCTGCATTGTGGAAGCTCACAGACCTGTTCCTTCTCTCTCCTCTACCCGCTCCCTTGGTGCAGCTTTCGCTCGTGGAAGCACAGAGCAAAGTGACAAGAAACAGCTGCGAGTTCAAGGAATTGTCTACCTTGTTCTGATCTCCTGCCAGGTACGTGCCACGCTTTGTCCCCCCACGTGGTTGACCAGCAGTGTGTCGCACCATGTTTGGTAACACAGCCTCACCCAGCTTTGATGGGACACTGGTCCCGTGTGGGTTTTTTCCCTTCCCCTGCAGCTCGGTCCTGTGGAGGATGCTGTGTGTGGTGCTGTGACCAGCTGGTCTGAAGGAAAGCAATCCCTTAGGCAAAGGGTCCTAGGCCCAGTTTGTGCCGAGCTGCACAGTGTGACCCAAGGTCACAAGCACGCACGCTTGGGCAGTGTGAGTGTGCGCGGCAGCTGTAGGGAGCACAGCAGAGATGCAAGCAGAGGAAATCCTTGATGTGCGGGGCTGCAGCAGGTGCCGGTGGTGAGGCTGCTGGGAGCCGTGGCCGGGGAGCAGATGCACCTGCAGCAATGATTCCTCTCACTGCCCTGCTGCTGCGCTGTCAGAGCGCCCTGGGCGAATGCATCTGCTGCTTTGTGCCAGTCCCCATCTGCTAGCAGAGGGACAGCCGCTTGGTCAAATGCTGCCTAATGGGCTGTCCCATTTGAACGGAGTGGACAGAGTGGTTGCTTCTAGAGCACCTGCCTGTGCCAGAGGATAGCCAAGGGTAGTTCTCCGGTAGTCTCTCAATACTGTGGTGTGTGAAGAGAGAAAATATGAGCGTGTTTCTTTTCATTCCAGCTTGTCGTGCCTGCTGTGATGGGCATCGCGTGCAGCGAGATCAGCTGTGGGCCTGACATCGCACGGATGGAGGTAGAGTGTGGAGCTCTGATTGGTCTTTGTTCCCTGACTTGAGCCAGCAGAGTGAGCTGCAGATGTGCTCTCCTGCTTTTCAAGAGAGAGCGAATCCTTGCGGCTCTATCGGTGACACTGAAGTGCTGCCTTCAAGGCTTTCTTTCCTTGCTGCGGGCATGTTCTTAGCCTTGCCGTTCCTTCTTGTGTGCCCATGATAAGGATGGAGTGCACTTCCTGCAGCTTTCTCTGCTGACATGCTCCTCAGCCTGAAATCCTCCTCGTTTGCCCTCAGCTCCTCACCATGGCCTGTGCTCTCTGTTTCAGGCTGAGAACAACGGGAAGCCCCGGCTGGTCCGTGAGGAGTCATCTCTTAATATCCCAGCTATTGCTGCTGCCCACGTTATTAAGAGATACGTTGCCCAGGCACCGGGTGAACTCTCCTTGGAGGTAAGCAGTTAAGGGCGTTCCTTGTTGTCCTGTACAGAAGAGTATAACATGTGAAGCTATCAGGAATATTCTCAGACACCTTCAGAGTGTTTGGTGTGGTGAAGCCCAGCAGATGCGGTTCCAGGTTAGACTTGCACTGGGTTGGATGCAGGGAGGAGTTCAGCCATCTCTAAACTATGGCTCTATTTTGCATTTGGATCTTGTGATCAAAGAGCTACTGCCCAGTGTGGTAGCCTGGTCTCTGAGCAATGGCAGAGCAGTGTATGGAGTGTGCAGATCTGTTCAGGCTCTGTTTGGCTGACTTATGCCTGCGGTTTAATTGGAGCTCTCCCTTTGGCAAAGAGCCTGCTGCTTTTGAGAACCATTTGGTACTGAACAGCTGAATTCCGTATGTTGTGTATTGTAGTGACTCTTGTACCTCCACGTTCAGTTGTACGACTGCAAATGCCTGAAGAGCTGCACTGGTGCAATCGCTCTCTAGCTTGACGATATTGGGCAGTGCAGAAGAATGCAGTCATTTGAGCTGCGCTTTCCTCCCAGCTGTGCTGTAGCTGGGATTGACGTTGCAATCTCTTGCAGGTGGGAGACCTCGTGTGCGTCATCGAGATGCCGCCTCAGGAGCTGAGCCCCCGCTGGAGAGGCAAGCACGGCTTTCAGGTAGGCCCAAGCTTCAGACGTGAGAGCGCAACTTCGGTCGAGGCAGGAATCTCAGCTTAGAGCTGCCCTGCCTGCACAGCATGGCTCCACATGGAAAATGGTTTCCTTGTGCTGGTGTCAGAGGACTTTCCCTTTTGCTGTGGGCTTGGGCCAGAGCTGAAAGTTGGTCTTTGTAGGAAACTGCCTCCTCAGTTAACTTAGAAAGAAGAGCCCTCACAGCGTGCATCAGGTCACGGCCACTGAACCGCACCTTTGGAAATGCAGCAGCTAGGACACGTGTTTCAGTGTCTCTGAGCACTTGTGCTTGCACCCATGCAGAAGGGGAAGTCGGTGTCTTTTAGGAAGTCGCTGCCTGTCAGCTGAGATGAGGCAGGGTAACAGAGCCTCTGCGTGCTTGCTGCTGCTGCTGGCTGCAGAAGGCTGGGTAGCTCAGAGCTGGGGATGGCAGCTGCATCTCGGTCAGCAAGCAGAAAGTTCATAGGCTGTGCTAACTCAGATCTAGCTGCATCAATCTATCATAATATATAGCTTCTGTATGAAGTCTTTCCCTTCGGGCACGCTTGAGATTTAGGGGTGCATAGCATACTTGTTCTTTCCCCGCTCCATACACAGTTTTATGGATATTTGCCTGCCAATTTGGAATAATTATTAATTTTAAGCAGGCCATTTTTTGGTTGGATTGTCTTACGGAGCATCCGGCAGGCACGTGATGAGGAAAAGGTGATGTTTGAACAGTTCAGGCCTGAGAAACGCTGCCTTCAGAATCGCACCTCTCTTCTTCTTGTTACAGGTTGGATTTTTCCCTGGTGAGTGTGTGGAGCTCATTAACGGAAAAATCCCGGAGTCTCTCATCAATTCAGTGCCAAAGCCAGGTACGATGAGACATTTGATGGTGCAGGGAAGCTAAATGGAGTCTTTTTTGGGTGTGTTCCATGTTTAATACCTCCCTTATCCTTCCCCCCTTATCCTCTGTGCTGATGATCCTTCCTGCATAGCACGGGGCGTATGGCTGGTGTTTTGTAGGCAGTGAGAATGAGGGAAGGCAAAGGCAGTTCTCCTGCAAGTCAGTACGAGGCTGAGAACAGCCAGCGTCCCTGGTGGACAGATAGAGGTCTGGTTGTGCTAGTGACACGCTTGATCAGAACGTGGCTTTTCAAGAGGGTCCTTAATGCCCAGGTTGAGCAAGCTAAGCAAGAGGAGTGCATTCAACTCCATCAGAACGTGCAGAGATTTGGCCCAGTCCTCCTGTGTTTTATGACTGGAGTTGGGGATATCCTAGAATCCTTGTAGAATGGCTTGGCATGGAAGGCAGCTCGAGGATCATCAAGCTCCAAGCCCCTGCCTCAAGCTGGGCTGCCAACCAAGCACCACGTCTAATGTGGGACTGGACCAGGCTGCCCAGGGCCCCATCCAGTCTGGCCTTGGACTCCTCCAGGGTTGGGGAAAATCCATTTTGGTACGCACTTGCTCATCATGTTCTTCCCGTTTTGAGGTGCTCTGTAGAATGTGTTGTGCTCGGCCTCGTCCAACGGAGCCAAACCTGAGATGAACTGGTTTCTTCCTTTTGTTGTGCAGTGCCAAAGAAGCGCGGCAAGCTCCTCACCTTCCTTCGTTCCGTGGTGAAGGCCCGCCCAAAGCAACGGAAAGAGCGGGAGGTGGAGAAGGAGAGGGTGTTTGGCCGTGACCTGGGAGAGCATCTTCTCCACTCTGGTCGTGATGGTAAGGGACAGCCCATTCCTGAGAGCTTCCCTGTTTGAGAACCTAGAGATGAAAGGGAGATGGTATGTAGCAAGGGGCAGGTTGATACCAGTGGAGAAACGGGGAATGGGAGTTGATGGCTGAAAGATCAACTGAGGAGGTGATGGCTGCAAGGGAAATGCTCCCAAGAGACAAGCACGTTTGTATTTGCTTCAGCCAAGCCCGGCTGGGCTTAGTGGATGGGATGTGACGGGAGCGCAGCCTGAGGCAGGACTTGACTGAGGAGCTCCAGTAACCGCCGGCACGTGTTCTTTAGTCCCCCAGGTCCTCCAGAGCTGCGCCGAGTTCATCGAGCAGCATGGCGTGGTGCAGGGGATATACCGCCTGTCCGGCGTGGCGTCCAACGTCCAGAGACTGCGGTAAGAGTGCTGCGACTGACAGACACAGCTGCCAGCAGGGGCACGTGCCCTGTTGCGGGCGTTCAGAGGCCTGCGGGCAATGCCTTAGCACAGAGAAAAGGTCTCCTTTGGGAACATCCCATCCAGCACGGCTGACGTGGTGCTGGTGGCCGAGTGTTTGTGTTCTCCTGTACATCAGGAAGCCCTTCTGATTCTTGATTGCATTGGGTGTGGCTTTTGACTTGCTTTCCTCTTTCTCAACCGCTTTCGTGTCCTTCTCTGCAGCCAGGAATTTGAGTCTGAGCAGGTTCCTGAGCTAACCGTCCGCGACGTTCACAGCGCGAGCTCCCTCTGCAAAATGTACTTCAGGGAGCTCCCGACCCCCCTGCTGACCGACCAGCTGTACGACAAGTTCTCGGTAAGCACGAGGCAACGCCTTTCCTTTCCCTCTTCGCTGGGCCTCTTGGGAGATGGCTGCAGCAGTGCCCCAGCTCTGAGGCCCTTCTTCTGTTAGCCCCATGGGGTTTACTCGCATGTCTTTGCCACATCCTGCTTCGTGCTGATGCCACTTCTGGTGGCCCCAGGAGGTGGTTATTTCCATATTCACAATGCTTGCGAGAATTCCTGTGTTGTTTGTTTGTTTGTTTGTTTTTTGCTATTCCCCAGCTATTTCTGGAACAGGAAGGGGATTAATAGCCAAGTGTACTTGCAGATGAATGCCCCCTGCGAGGAGCTGAGCTGCCCAACCAGGCTGTAAACCGGCCCGGTGCTTGGACTCCTTGGCCTTGGTGGCACCAGCTGCGTGCCGCTATGTTTGCCAGATGCCTCTGGGGAGGCCTAAAATCTTTCTCAGTGCTGACCAGCAGCGCGCTGTGCCCATGGTTCCCGACCCTGCGGCAGGTATCTCGCCTGATTTGTGTCTCAATCCCTTTCTGCCCTTTTCCAGGATGCTGTTGGTGCCACTACAGAGGAGGAGCGGCTGGTCAGAATGCGGGACGTCATCCAGCAGCTGCCCGCTCCTCACTACAGGTCAGTGCTGCCCTCAGCCTGCTGAGCTCAGCCCTGCTGCACTTCAGAGGGCAATGGTGCGATTCCAGGCTTTGTCTCACGTGAGCAACACGATGCCTGGGTATGTTGAAGCGGTTGAAGGCTACACGGGTTTAATTTACAGGGTTAATTTATTGGGTCAGGTCCTGGGCACGGGGGCACGCTTGGTGCAGCTGATGGCTGTGGCTGTGCTGTGCTGGTGCTGGGTGCTGCAGCGTGGCACTTGGTCAAGTTGGGTCTACTTCATCTTCAGCATCAGTAGCAGTAATAACAACTAGTGTGAATTGAGGTTTGCTTTGTGAGTGGCAGCACGGCATGCTGGCTGGTGCTGAACATTTGCCTCTCTTGTTTCCCAGGACCCTGGTGTTCCTGATGAGACACTTGGCCTGTCTTGCTGCAAAGAACTCTGTCACCAACATGCACGCTAAGAACTTAGCCATTGTGTGGGCTCCAAACCTCCTAAGGTAAACTTCTTTTTCCGTTTCAACAGAACGCTTACATCTGTTCTCCAGTAGAATAAAGCAGTCCTCCCTTCTTCTGCACCACATGTGCTCTTCTCCTGTAAAATGTGCAGTGAGTGGCTGACAGCAGAGCAGGAGCCTGGACTGTTCTCCAACCCCACGTGGGCACAATTTCTAGCTGAGCATTGCTGCTCTCTTGTTTAGATGGGACTGGTGTGTCCTTGATCAGCCAGGAGAACTTCTTCAGTGGCATCTCTTATATGCCCGCTGCGGAAGTCTCCAGAGAACAAATGTGACAGCTTTGGGCTGCAGTAATTCAGACCTGGGGAAGCGATCTTGGCTGAATGACTTCTAAAACCTGCCTTTTCTACAGATCACAGCAGAGCGAGTCTGCCTGCGCCAGCGGGAGAGCTGCCTGCACGGAACTGCAGACGCAGTCGGCTGTGGTGGAATTCATCATCGACCACACAGACGTCCTCTTCTGCTCCACATCCGGATCGGACATTGCAGATGGAGCAGGTGAGTGTCTTCCTCCATTAGCTTTATCTTGGTCAGACACCTGGATCAAATGCAGGCCTTCTCCAAGTCCTTTGAAATACACTTTTCCTGTCGAGGGAACAGCAGACTTCTGGGCTTAGATTGGAATCTGGCGTCCAGTTGCTGGATGCTGAGAATGTGCAAGCCCAAACGTGACAAGGAGAAAACTGTCACCATCATTATGATGTTTTGCAAGCAGGTGAAGCTTGATTAACGTGTGGCAGCGAAGCTTTCTCAGTTCCCTGTCCCCCTTTTCTAGGGTTTTTGTTTGCCTGTTTCGATACAGGGAGCTGCTCCTAATTATGACTGCGTCCTTTGCCATAGACACACCTCTGAGCACATGGTTGTTTTGAGCTGCTCTTCTTCCAGTGGCTCGGATAAGCAAGTCTGAGGAAAACACAGCAGCTCCCCCGGACCTGCGATGGCTGTGCTGCCGCTTTCTGATCCTGGCTCTCACCTGTGGTTTTCCCTTCCAGGGCACAGTTCTCTCTCAGGGCCCCAGTCTGTGCGGGCGTCTTCTGCTGCCACAGAGCTGCTCAGCCTGGAGGAGGCGCAGGCACGGAGGCGAGGCCACAGCAGCTCTCCTGTCGTTGTGACAGAGAGCAGGGACATAGAGGTGGAAGAAGGCCCCACAGCTGTACGGGGGAAATTCCACACAGTCATCGACTTTCCACCTGAAAGGTAAAGAGGACTTTGTTTTCCAGCAGCTATCATCACTGTTTGGGTGGGTTGTGTTTGTTCTGTCTCCATTATTTCTAGTGCCTAAACTTGTGGAAATTAGATTTAATGAATGGTGCCTGAAGTGTTGCAGTGAATCTCCCCTCCCTTTGGACTGTGAGATTCAACTAACATTGAGTTGCCCGCCGGGCTCAGTTTAGCCTCACAACGGTGCCGTTCCTTCCTTGCTGGGCAGGCAGTGACGAGATGCACAAAGCCACGCTGACGTCTACCCTGGCCTGTGCTGGCTCTACCTGGAAACGTTGGGGTTTTCCAGATTTCAGAGCCTCGTGCCTGAATCCAGTTCCGGATCTCCTCTACGCAGAGCCGTTGGTCAGACCTGCTGACACTAGAAACTAGACATGGCAGTGAAATGGGCCGATGAGCTGTCAGTGTCAGAGTCAGAGATGCTTTTGAAGTTCCTTTATGGCTGTGCAATTCCTCAGCCAGCAGTTATGCCTGCCTACTCAATCAAAGCCACCCTTTGATGCTGTCCTGTACAGGTGTGGAGCCTGTGGACCTCACATGCTCTGCATCTTGCTTGACACAGTTGAGGGGAATTTAGCCAGCAAGACTTCAGGGCTGAGCTATAGGAATGGAACCATCCTCAACTGCTTGAAATGGAGCGAGTTTCTAAGCTGTGTTTCAGCAGGAACCAGGCGGTGCTAGGAACAAGCAACTGTTGGCACGAGCTCAGTGCAGCTCTTCCCTCACCCTGCGCCACGCACGACTCACGCCATTCCCTGTTTTCTCTCTCCAGACCCAGTCCACCCAGCAAGATAAAGGAATCACCAGCTGGCTGTTGGTGTTCCTGCTTCAGCCTGGGGAAACCATCGTCTGGGGCCAAACGCCAGCCACAGCACCATCCCAGGGAGCCCTCAGAAATAGAAATCGTAGTGCTGGCAGGTAAGGGTGCAAATCCAGCTTTCAACGCCTTGCTTTTCAGCAACATAGAATTCTTGCTGTCAGTGGGCTTGTATCTACTTCCAGCGTTCCAACCCATACCTAACACCTTTAGTTCTCCCCTGATCAAGAACCCCTTTTGTAATTCAGCTTGTGAAAGTTTGGCGCTAACCCCTGTGTATCCTTCCTAGATGAACTGAGCCCTTGTCCACCCAGAAGAGCTGGAGCAAGTAGCGAAGCTGGGCTGTGTGCTTCCACCAATGGAGAGCTCTTGGGAAGCACAAATGGCTGCGGATCACGTGACAGCCTTGCACGTAACAACAGTGATGGAGAGAGGGAGCTCATCCAAGTTGAAGCCCTCATTTCTCCTGGCTGTGCTGAAGATGCTGACCTGTGCCCACCAGGCACCGCAGTCACCAGCCTGGACTGTGACCCGGCACCTTTGCAGTGCAGCCCAGCCCAAGTACAGTCCGAGTGCCCGGACAGCAACACCTCTGTGCAGGAGCAGGTCAGCATCAGCGAGGAGCAGCAGAGCCTCTTGGAGGGGGGCGTACAATCAGGCCTCCAGTCCCAGGCACCGTGCAGCATCTCTGAGAGCTCTGAGCCACTCTCTACGTGATCTTTCCATCCAAGAGAGGACGATTTCCATCTTTACCTGGACCTCTCACGCCCTCCTGTGTTTTCCTTTAATAATAAAAGCGCACTTATACTCACTCAACGCCTTGACTGCCTGTGGAGTCTTCATTCACGAGGACTGGGATGAATGCGGCACACAGCAAGGCACCTCAGCTGGCAACGCTGAGGCTGCAGGGTGCACGAAGCAGAGCTCTGGGTTATTTCCCATTCTGTCTGGCTTTGGGATGTCTGCAGGTCCCAGTTGGTACGGTAGCAAATAATCTCTAGCATCCTGGATTCTGCTCGTGGTGACCCCAAGCTTCCTGGCGGTGGCTTTGTGATGCCTTTCAGGGCTTTTGGATGCACTGTGATGCCTTGGCTGCTCCCTAGCACCTCTCTCCTCCGGCCGCGTCCATTCCTTGAAGGAATCAGCAGCTGGCTGTTGGTGTTCCTGTTTCAGCCTGGGAAAACCATCTTCTGTGGGCAAACGCCAACTGCAGTGCAATGCCAGGGAGCCTGCAGAAATGCAAGTCGTAGTGCTGGCAGGTAAGAGTGCAAATCCTGCTTCCAAAGCTCTGCTTTCCAGCAACATAGAATGCATGCTGTCACTGGGCTTGATTGCCCTTCTAGCGTTCCAGCCCATACCTGACACCTTCAGTTCTCCCCTGATCAAGAACCACTTTTGTAATTCAGCCTGGGAGAGTTTGACACCAACCCCTGTTCATTCTTTTATAGGTGATTCGTGCTCTTGTCAACCGAGCAGAGCCAGAGCATGTAGTGATGCTGGGCTGTGTGCTTCCACCAACGGAGAGCTGTTAGGAAGCACAAATGGCTGTGGTTCAGCTGACAGCCTGCCGCATAACAACAGTGATGGAAAGAAGGAGCTGATCCAAGTTGAAGCCCTCATTTCTCCCGGCTGACACAAAACTGGTCAGAGTGGCTGACACAGCAAAAGGCTGTGCTGCCTTCCAGCGAGACCTGGAGAGTTGGGTGGGGAGAAACGGAATGAGAAAGAACAAGGGCAGGTGTGGAGTCTTGCATCTGGGCAAGAGCAACCTGAGTACCAGTATAGGTTGGGGGCTGAGCTGTTGGAGAGCAGCGTAGGAGAAAGGGATCGGGGGATCCTGGTGGGCGGTAGGAGGAGCATGAGCCAGCACTGTGCTCTCGTGGCCAAGAGGGCATCGTGGGGTGTATGAGAAAGAGTACGGATAGGAGGTGGAGAGGTGCTCTTTCCCCTCTACTCTGCCCTGATGAGTGGAGCATCTCCCTGTGAGGAAAGGCTGGAGGAGACTGAGGGGTGACCTCGTTGATGTTTATAAATGTGTGAATAGTGAGCGTGAGGAGGATGAAGGCAAGCTCTTCTCAGTGACATCCAGTGATAGGACAAGGGGCAATGTGTGCAAGCTGGAGCATAGGAGGTCCCACATAAATAAGAGGAAAAACTTCTTCACGGCAAGGGTAACAGAACACTGGGATGGGCTGCCCAAAGAGGTTGTGGGATCTCCTGTGGAGACATTCAGCAGCTACCTGGACATGTTCCTGTGTGCCCTAATCTAGGTGATCCTGCCCCAGCAGGGGGATTGGACGAGGTGATCTTTGGAGGTCCCTTCCAATTCCTGACATTCTGTGATTCTGTGCAAACTTGGTTCACGGTAGTACTTTTGCTGCTGGGAAATAGGAGCGCTGATCTTTGGGGTAAGTTCAGCAAGGTGGACTCCCCTAAGCTGATACTGACTTCATCCTATAGCGTTGACTTCTGTCCTGATTTATTCCATGCCAGAAGTTCCGGATGCTGTCAGGAGTTATTCAAGCCCATTGGTGTTAATTTGATCCTGGACTGGCTGCTGCTTGACATGCTGTCTGCACAGAGGTAACGCATGCATTAATTTGTTTCCTGTCCTCTGCTGTTTTGTCTCTTGTTTTTAGTTAATGCTGAAAACCCACCTACGGCTGTGGTTGGGAAATTGGTTCACTTGCTCGATCGGACCCAGATTTTCAGGAGGAGCTGGAGCTAATGAAACTGTGTGAGGAAGCTGTGACCTTGGTCCGATCTAATCAACAGCTTGAAAATGACCTCAATCTCATGGACCTCAAGATTGGACTGCTAGTGAAGAACAGAATGACACTGCAGGTAGGAAATGCAGTGCTGGGAGACTAGGAGAGTGAATTGAGGCCAATGGCAGTTAGCATGAGGACCTTCTGAGCCTGGATCTCACTTACTCAGATGCAGTGGGAAGTATTTCCCCCAGAGTTACAGGTTTTCCTCCCAGTAAGTTCCTAACTGTTCCACTTATTACTATGTATCCCTAGAAAGAGAACTGCAGCAGAAACATCAAGGCTTCAAGTGTTTTAAAAACAAAGCACCAGAAAAAAACCCACTCGGGACCAAGGGAAAGCAATAGATGGTATGCTTGAAGGCTCTGAGAAGTGTTTGTCTCTTCACTTGTGGTTACGTGAGTCATGGACTTGCACACCTCAATTTCTTCTCACGTTTTGTGTGCTGTATCAGAAGGGGGAGGTGATTTTGGAGCAGGAAATGTGCTCAGGCTGCTTGGTGTTGGTTGGCTGATGGAAGCCCCCTCTGTCACTTTGCTGACGATTGATTGCACACAAGAACAACGTTGCTGATACAGCGGTGCCTTTTTTTAACTCAAGCTGAAGTTACAGTCACCTTTTCCTTTGGTCCTGAATAGCGTGGTGCTAGGCTTGACCTTGTGTAAAATCTGAACCATGGCAGCAGTAAAGTTCAGTTCCAAAGGAGGCTCCAGCTCTTGGGCTGATGCTGGCAGCAAAAAGTATCATCGTTATCAGAGCGGTGGAGGCAGGGAGTCAGCAAAATGGAAACAGGGCTTGGGGCTTCAAGCACAGTTGAGAAAGAAAGGCATTTTCAAGCATCTTCAGAACGCTACCAGCTCTGACAGTAGTCCCTGCTCAAAGCAATTAGTCCTTGTAGGTTCTCAACCAATTCTGGAACGTGGGGACAAGACAGAAATCGCTGCTACAACAGATAATGTTTCACTTCATGATCTCCTGATGTACCTTGACTGCCTTATCCACACATAAGGAAGTGCTATCGTGCAGCTTTTTCCCATATTGCGTGTTATTTAAATGTGGAATCTGTCCCTCTGTGTTCTTTGCAGGATGTTGTTTCTCATAGCAAAAATCTTAGCAAGGAGAACAAGGAACAGCTCTGTGACGTGATGACGCTGAACGAGCAAAAGGGAGGTTTGAAAGCTTTGAGCAAAGAGGAGAGGGAAAAGCTGGAAGCCTATCAGCATCTTTTCTACTTGAGGTATGCAGCTTTTCATTCACTGCTCTTGTCGTAGATGCTTACGTGTATTGGAACAGTCTGTGCTTATGCTCTGCAGTGTTGAGGCGCTGTCTGTCTTTGTGGTGTTGGCTTTTGTGGACACGTGCTGTATGGGAACTGCTGAGTCATGGCCTGAACCTCTGATTGATCACCTGAGGCGAGCAGTGAGTCAGGCAGAGGAGCACAGGTGAAGGCAATGCAGCTGTGCTGCTGGAAGGGGTGCAGCCAGGCTACAGCCCTCCTAGACCTGTTTAAGAGCTGGCTGCCAGTGGGGAAGGATCTCGTCTGGAGATCTGCTCTGCTGGAGTTTTGTAAGTGAGCCCAGGATAGGGGTAAGCCTTCTATTTATTCTCCTTTTGTTAGCTTAGTCTGCTTTGTCAAACTCTCTTGTTTATTTCATAATGACAACATCTTAATAGTCATTGATTATACACGTGCACTAAGTACTTTTTCTTCTTGTTTTAGACTACTCCAACGTACTTGGCCAAGCTGCTTTTGCAGATGCCTCAAAACAAACCCACAGAGTTCATGGATTCAGCCATCTTCACGCTGCATAACTACGCATCCAGTCAGAGAGAGGAATCTCTGCTGTTGCGGCTGTTGCAAACAGCATTGCAGGAAGAGATCAAGTACGTTGTAGCATAGGACACAGCCTTGCTGTTGCCTGAGTTTGGGCCGCTGCTAAAATTGCAGCTGTTGTTGTGTGATGTCCCGTGCTCATTAGCTGATAATGCTGAACTGTCCCTGCCTTCTGCTCATGCTGTTTCACGTCAGTCCTTTCTGTAACCTGGAAGGAGGAGGAATTACCTTTGTTCTTTAGGATTAAAGCCATTTTTCTTTAGCCAATGCTTTCTTGCTCAGGGAGGCACTATTTTTGATCTACTGCAGTGCTTTCCTAAGATTCATTCCCATCTAAGTTCTCTGCTGTCTAGTAAGAAGGACTTGGCACAGACTGCGAGCTTGGGCTTTACAGGCCAGAGTGAAGCTGACGCGAAGGTCACTGTTTTCCAAAACTGATGAGGAGGCTGAAAATCAGATGCTGTCTGGTTTGGGTTTTTTACTGGCTGTCAGGCTTAAGGATTCTGGCTGTCTGTCGGCATAATGGAGTTGATTGGCACTTAGGAGTTTGGTGTTTATGACTTCTGGCTGATACGGAGCTTCACAACTTGCTAGGAATAGCAAATACATATAATGTTGGAGGCAGTCATGCCTTTTTTGATGCTTTTAAGTATGAGGATGGTATGTGCCCTCCAACAGGTAACGCCTAAAAGGTTTGTTTAATTATTATTATCTTTTCTTGGAGTAGTAGTTCAGGAAAGTGCATGTCTATGCTTTATTCTCTGCTGCTGGATTTCCCATAGCGGCATGCTGTGAATGGCTTTTGTTGCTGATTGCTTACTTGTTGAAATACTGAAAGAAAATAGTTGTGCCTGTGTAGAACTCCCTTTGTTTCCTCTGTATTTTTGAGATGCGCTCTTTCAACCGTGGTGCCCGTGGTCAGAACGCACTGAGGCAGATCTTGGCCCCAGTTGTGAAGGAAATAATTGAGGACGAATCGCTCAACGTCAGAACGGATCCAGTGGATATTTACAAGTGCTGGGTGAACCAGATGGGATCTCAGAATGGTGAGGCCGGGTATGGAAGCTGTTGCTACTGTTTTTTTCTGAAAGTTGCTCAGCTGCTTTGCATTGCTCTATTAATCGTTCCAAACCATCCCTGGATTCATTGCATGCATCTGTCCAATGGATACCGGCTTTTTTCCATCAGCTCGAGATGGCTTTCTTCTGAAAGGTATAAAGATCATCTTGTGACAGGGGTGTTGAGCCTATTAGAAGTGAATCTCATGAAGAGATAGGCCAAGAAAAGCCCCAAAGCATTTCTTCTGTGTTAACTCATAGGTACAGATACCGTAGCTCTTACTCTACCAAGCCAATCTCTGCCCACAACTCGGGCAGGCTGCCCAAGGAGGCTGTGGATGCCCCATCCCTGGAGGCGTTCAAGGCCTGGCTGGATGTGGCTCTGGGCAGCCTGGGCTGGCGGTTGGTGAACCTGCACGCAGCGGGGGGTTGGAACGAGATGAGCATTGTGGTCCTTGTCAACACAGGCCGTGTTCATAGAATCACAGCATGCAGCTGTTCCTGTCTGCCCATGAGAAGGTTTCATCCACCTGGTCATCCTGGTTGGTTGGCCTGTAGTTCCCCCGCTACGTCATCTGTCCCTGTCCTCCCTTTAATCTGTGTCTATAAAGTCTTGATGGGCTCCCATCCGTCCCCAGTCAGAGTTCTGTGTTTCTTCCAGTGCTTGATGTTCACCAGATTTTGAGGGTTCTGTTGTTGGTTGTATTTGTTTTGTTTTTAAGGCACTTCAAGGGAAGTGGTGGAAAAGCAATGCTATGAAGTAAAAGACAACTGTCCCAGCGCAGCACTCTGCGTGAGTTACTATCTTAACACTGCAATGTGCAGCTTGTGTTTTCACTGATTTATTTGCGACCTGAGGTACTACTGCGTATCGCAGGTGACCTTCTTGACTCTAGAGAGCGTGTCTGCATGTGGTACAGAAAGATACAGTTCAGAGTTAGCTGGGCCTGTTCTCACAGCGACTGCTGCAGGGACAGCAGAGGACGTGAGAAGTCCTTTGCTCTTTCAGTGCTAGAATTCTAACGAAAGTGAACGTGCAGCTCTTTGCAGCCAGGTGAGCGTGGATCTGTTTGTGTGTCAAGCCAAAAATTCTGCCTGGCACTGACAAAAGTATATTAGGCTGAGGAGTGCTCACCTTCACATCTGACTTTTCCAAATAGCAAGTTGCCGTACGATGTTGCACCTGAACAAGCTCTTAATCACGGTGAGGTGAGGACGCACCTGGATGCCTCAATCCGAGATGTGAAGGCAGTGACAGACAAGTTCCTGTCTGCCATCGTTGTTCAGCTGACCAAATCCCGTAAGTCTGGTGTGTCACCGCGTTATCCTGCAGCAGTTAATAGTGGGTTCATCCGTGAGGAATTCTCACTTGCCTTTTATTTCCTTCGAAGTTACGGGATGCGTTTCATCGCCAAGGTACTGAAAGACTCCCGGCATGACAAGTTTCCTGATGCTGGCGAGGATGAGCTTCTGAAGGTAAGGAGCTGAGCAGCTCTGTGAATAAAGACGCTTTTTTCAGGTTGCTTGTGAGGTTCCTGAATTGCAGTATAAGTTCAGTATTGATGAGTATTTTGGCTTCCTTCCTTGTCTATCCCTTCTGCAGAGCTTATAGCCATCAATCTCAACGCGCCAGTCATGGGAGCAGTCCCACCATGTTTCAGTAACAGCAGCTAGATCGTAGTTAGCCTGGTGCACAATGGCTTCCAGTTCCTCCTGCTTGTTGCTCATGCTGCGTGCATTGGTATAGGTGCACTTGAGCCGAGTCATTTGCCTGACTCCCAGCTCTAAAATCGTTCCCCCAGGCTCTTCTCTTGTGAGGCCTGTACTGTCCCCTTCCCCCGTCATAATTAGTTGATTGCACAGGAAGAAAAGCTTGATGTCTGTGCCAAGGGAGACGTACACCGCACTTGCGCTGCCTGGACGATGTGGAAACTGGAAATTGTGGGGTGTGCTGAAGCATGCCCTCTCAGGTCAGTCTAAGCATACATAGAGTAGACCTGTCTAGCAAAACAGGGAATAGACAGTTAAACCCATTCTGTTGGGAAATACTCTCTCCTTCTAAGTACCTTTAGAACGTGAGTTTCTTCAGTTAATTACTCAACTCATTTGCTTTTCCTGAATGATCCTAAGTTCTTTTCTCAGGCGACATCTGCACTCTGCTCAGTCCAAGGAGAAATCCCTGCCCGCAGATGCAATGACACAGCGTGGCTCCCAACCTCATTTTTCATTGCTTACTCTTATGGTAGCTGCCATCCATGTCCACCCTGCATATTCTTAGAGCTCTTCTGGAGTCCATGGGGCAGACTTATGGTTGAACTAAAGGGAATTTTTTTATAATGCTCTAGCTCCAGATGATTATCCCTAGTATCATTATATTAAAAAAAAAAAAAGGCGTTTTGAAGTAGCGCGATATATCTTCTGTGCCTCAGAATGTGGCACGTGTGGCATGAGAGAGTTGTGAGGCCACGAGGACTGCCCAGACAGCATGAGAACTGTAAGAGCAGAGAGCTATAGGTGATGCAGCGCTATTGGTGCCACCCGCAGGAAGCGGTAGCTGGAACAAAATATGGCCAGAAGAGTGATCAGATTGCGTTTGGTAAGGAACTATTTCATTGGTTGTAGAACTTTGACAAAATGTATATTCAGGATGATGATCAGCATGCCAGGTGCTGGGACCATGCCGAAAGAGAAATGGTCTGAAAACGTCGGTGCCATTTGCAATATATCCCCTTCCACAAAGCCCTCAGATCCATGCTGCAACTGCATCCAAAGCAACCCAGAGCCCTGTGCTTGTTGTACCCGGAGCTATCGGTGCCAGGAGTTGCCGCTGTGTTTGCAAGGACGTTGTGTCAGCAGTGTGTCGTCAGTGGGGTTGTTTGATGGCAATGAAACCGCTGAATGGTGTACCTCAAGACTGAGAAAGAAGATGGTAGTGGTGACTGTGTGTCTGGGTATAGATAGCTTGATACAGATCTATAGGACTGCAGTGTGGATTGTACATAGGCCCTGCGCTGCGAGGTACGCTGTTGGGAAGCAATGTCCATCTGCCCGAGGGCAGGAAGGCCCTGCAGAGGGACGGCCTGAGGCCAGCCGTACGAGGCTGCACAGGAGCAAGCGCTGGGTCCTGCGCTGTGGTCATGAAGACCCCATGGCAGCTTCTGCAGGATTGGGCTGAGGTAGAATTCCAACCGCCCACTGATTCTAGAATGTTGGGTGTTGGAATCTTCTGGTCCTGTGACATGGTCTTGCCTCCCCACCCTGTCGTCATGGCGGAGCAGCCTGGTGGCCCTTAGTGATGTCACAAGAGGCTGGAATGAGGGGAGGAGCAGTGCGTGCTGCGTCCCTTCATTGGAGCGCTTGAGCTCTGCGTGAGTAGCTCGCTTGTTGCCCTTGTGCAGCGACTGAGTGCCTTCATTTTCACCCCGTCTTGTGCAGCATATCTTGTAGGTAAGCTGAGACAGCGTGGGATGGACGGGTGGGCAGAGAGCTGTTGAAAACTGCTGTCTGGTGGAGCTCCTAGCAGCTCACACTGCTTACTCTTGTCCATCAGACGTAACTTTCAGCCAGTACCTGCATTCCCAAGCGATCCACAAAGATGGCATTTGTCCCATGGCTTTTCCCTTGTCATCTTTGCTCCATTGTGCAAGCTCACAGACCTGTTCCTTCTCTCTCCTCTACCCGCTCCCTTGGTGCAGCTTTCGCTCGTGGAAGCACAGAGCAAAGTGACAAGAAACAGCTGCGAGTTCAAGGAATTGTCTACCTTGTTCTGATCTCCTGCCAGGTACGTGCCACGCTTTGTCCCCCCACGTGGTTGACCAGCACTGTGTCGCACCATGTTTGGTAACACAGCCTCACCCAGCTTTGATGGGACACTGGTCCCGTGTGGGTTTTTTCCCTTCCCCTGCAGCTCGGTCCTGTGGAGGATGCTGTGTGTGGTGCTGTGACCAGCTGGTCTGAAGGAAAGCAATCCCTTAGGCAAAGAGTCCTAGGCCCAGTTTGTGCCGAGCTGCACAGTGTGACCCAAGGTCACAAGCACGCATGCCTGGGCAGTGTGAGTGTGCGCGGCAGCTGTAGGGAGCACAGCAGAGATGCAAGCAGAGGAAATCCTTGATGTGCGGGGCTGCAGCAGGTGCCGGTGGTGAGGCTGCTGGGAGCCGTGGCCGGGGAGCAGATGCACCTGCAGCAATGATTCCTCTCACTGCCCTGCTGCTGCGCTGTCAGAGCGCCCTGGGCGAATGCATCTGCTGCTTTGTGCCAGTCCCCATCTGCTAGCAGAGGGACAGCCGCTTGGTCAAATGCTGCCTAATGGGCTGTCCCATTTGAACGGAGTGGACAGAGTGGTTGCTTCTAGAGCACCTGCCTGTGCCAGAGGATAGCCAAGGGTAGTTCTCCAGTAGTCTCTCAATACTGTGGTGTGTGAAGAGAGAAAATATGAGCGTGTTTCTCTTCAGTTCCAGCTTGTCGTGCCTGCTGTGATGGGCGTCGCGTGCAGCGAGATCAGCTGTGGGCCTGACATCGCACGGATGGAGGTAGAGTACGGAGCTCTGATTGGTCTTTGTTCCCTGACTTGAGCCAGCAGAGTGAGCTGCAGATGTGCTCTCCTGCTTTTCAAGAGAGAGCGAATCCTTGCGGCTCTATCGGTGTCACTGAAAAGCTGCCTTCAAGGCTTTCTTTCCTTGCTGCGGGCATGTTCTTAGCCTTGCCGTTCCTTCTTGTGTGCCCATGATAAGGACGGAGTGCACTTCCTGCAGCTTTCTCTGCTGACATGCTCCTCAGCCTGAAATCCTCCTCGTTTGCCCTCAGCTCCTCACCATGGCCTGTGCTCTCTGTTTCAGGCTGAGAACAACGGGAAGCCCCGGCTGGTCCGTGAGGAGTCATCTCTTAATATCCCAGCTATTGCTGCTGCCCACGTTATTAAGAGATACGTTGCCCAGGCACCGGGTGAACTCTCCTTGGAGGTAAGCAGTTAAGGGCGTTCCTTGTTGTCCTGTACAGAAGAGTATAACATGTGAAGCTATCAGGAATATTCTCAGACACCTTCAGAGTGTTTGGTGTGGTGAAGCCCAGCAGATGCGGTTCCAGGTTAGACTTGCACTGGGTTGGATGCAGGGAGGAGTTCAGCCATCTCTAAACTATGGCTCTATTTTGCATTTGGATCTTGTGATCCAAGAGCTACTGCCCAGTGTGGTAGCCTGGTCTCTGAGCAATGGCAGAGCAGTGTATGGAGTGTGCAGATCTGTTCAGGCTCTGTTTGGCTGACTTATGCCTGCGGTTTAATTGGAGCTCTCCCTTTGGCAAAGAGCCTGCTGCTTTTGAGAACCATTTCATACTGAACAGCTGAATTCCGTATGTTGTGTATTGTAGTGACTCTTCTACCTCCACGTTCAGTTGTACGACTGCAAATGCCTTAAGAGCTGCACTGGTGCAATCGCTCTCTAGCTTGACGATATTGGGCAGTGCAGAAGAATGCAGTCATTTGAGCTGCGCTTTCCTCTCAGCTGTGCTGTAGCTGGGATTGACGTTGCAATCTCTTGCAGGTGGGAGACCTCGTGTGCGTCATCGAGATGCCGCCTCAGGAGCTGAGCCCCCGCTGGAGAGGCAAGCACGGCTTTCAGGTAGGCCCAAGCTTCAGACGTGAGAGCGCAACTTCGGTCGAGGCAGGAATCTCAGCTTAGAGCTGCCCTGCCTGCACAGCATGGCTCCACATGGAAAATGGTTTCCTTGTGCTGGTGTCAGAGGACTTTCCCTTTTGCTGTGGGCTTGGGCCAGAGCTGAAAGTTGGTCTTTGTAGGAAACTGCCTCCTCAGTTAACTTAGAAAGAAGAGCCCTCACAGCGTGCATCAGGTCACGGCCACTGAACCGCACCTTTGGAAATGCAGCAGCTAGGACACGTGTTTCAGTGTCTCTGAGCACTTGTGCTTGCACCCATGCAGAAGGTGAAGTCAGCGTCTTTTAGGAAGTCGCTGCCTGTCAGCTGAGATGAGGCAGGGTAACAGAGCCTCTGCGTGCTTGCTGCTGCTGCTGGCTGCAGAAGGCTGGGTAGCTCAGAGCTGGGGATGGCAGCTGCATCTCGGTCAGCAAGCAGAAATTTCATAGGCTGTGCTAACTCAGATCTAGCTGCATCAATCTATCATAATATATAGCTTCTGTATGAAGTCTTTCCCTTCGGGCACGCTTGAGATTTAGGGGTGCATAGCATACTTGTCCTTTCCCCGCTCCATACACAGTTTTATGGATATTTGCCTGCCAATTTGGAATAATTATTAATTTTAAGCAGGCCATTTTTTGGTTGGATTGTCTTACGGAGCATCCGGCAGGCACGTGATGAGGAAAAGGTGATGTTTGAACAGTTCAGGCCTGAGAAACGCTGCCTTCAGAATCGCACCTCTCTTCTTCTTGTTACAGGTTGGATTTTTCCCTGGTGAGTGTGTGGAGCTCATTAACGGAAAAATCCCGGAGTCTCTCATCAATTCAGTGCCAAAGCCAGGTACGATGAGACATTTGATGGTGCAGGGAAGCAAAATGGAGTCTTTTTTGGGTGTGTTCCATGTTTAATACCTCCCTTATCCTTCCCCCCTTATCCTCTGTGCTGATGATCCTTCCTGCATAGCACGGGGCGTATGGCTGGTGTTTTGTAGGCAGTGAGAATGAGGGAAGGCAAAGGCAGTTCTCCTGCAAGTCCGTACGAGGCTGAGAACAGCCAGCGTCCCTGGTGGACAGATAGAGGTCTGGTTGTGCTAGTGACACGCTTGATCAGAACGTGGCTTTTCAAGAGGGTCCTTAATGCCCAGGTTGAGCAAGCTAAGCAAGAGGAGTGCATTCAACTCCATCAGAACGTGCAGAGATTTGGCCCAGTCCTCCTGTGTTTTATGACTGGAGTTGGGGATATCCTAGAATCCTTGTAGAATGGCTTGGCATGGAAGGCAGCTCGAGGATCATCAAGCTCCAAGCCCCCTTGCCTCAAGCTGGGCTGCCAACCAAGCACCACGTCTAATGTGGGACTGGACCAGGCTGCCCAGGGCCCCATCCAGTCTGGCCTTGGACTTCTCCAGGGTTGGGGAAAATCCATTTTGGTACGCACTTGCTCATCACGTTCTTCCCGTTTTGAGGTGCTCTGTAGAATGTGTTGTGCTCGGCCTCGTCCAACGGAGCCAAACCTGAGATGAACTGGTTTCTTCCTTTTGTTGTGCAGTGCCAAAGAAGCGCGGCAAGCTCCTCACCTTCCTTCGTTCCGTGGTGAAGGCCCGCCCGAAGCAACGGAAAGAGCGGGAGGTGGAGAAGGAGAGGGTGTTTGGCCGTGACCTGGGAGAGCATCTTCTCCACTCTGGTCGTGATGGTAAGGGACAGCCCATTCCTGAGAGCTTCCCTCTTTGGGGACCTAGAGATGAAAGGGAGATGGTATGTAGCAAGGGGCAGGTTGATACCAGTGGAGAAACGGGGAATGGGAGTTGAGGACTGAAAGATCAACTGAGGAGGTGATGGCTGCAAGGGAAATGCTCCTAAGGGACAAACGCATGTGCATTTGCTTAAAGCAAAGCCTGTAAGCCAATCCCCTGGTAGCCTGAAATGAAAGGAAGCCTTTTGCATCAGTTTCCCAGCTCCTTGCGGGCATGAGATTTTCCACCTCCGTTCCCGTGGGAGCTGTGATGGGACTTGCAATGTCTGTGGCTTCCCCGGAATTACTTTCTCCAGGCTGATTCCTAGGTCCTGGCATTTCTGGAATGCAAGGCACACATCTGTGTCCAGTTTCCTCACCAGCTCCTGCAGAGGTGTCTCTGACAGCTGTCCCCTTCAAGGAAGAACTGAGCAGTAGCCTGGCTGGGCTTAGTGGATGGGATGTGACGGGAGCGCAGCCTGAGGCAGGACTTGACTGAGGAGCTCCAGTAACCGCCGGCACGTGTTCTTTAGTCCCCCAGGTCCTCCAGAGCTGCGCCGAGTTCATCGAGCAGCATGGCGTGGTGCAGGGGATATACCGCCTGTCCGGCGTGGCGTCCAACGTCCAGAGACTGCGGTAAGAGTGCTGCGACTGACAGACACAGCTGCCAGCAGGGGCACGTGCCCTGTTGCGGGCGTTCAGAGGCCTGCGGGCAATGCCTTAGCACAGAGAAAAGGTCTCCTTTGGGAACATCCCATCCAGCACGGCTGACGTGGTGCTGGTGGCCGAGTGTTTGTGTTCTCCTGTACATCAGGAAGCCCTTCTGATTCTTGATTGCATTGGGTGTGGCTTTTGACTTGCTTTCCTCTTTCTCAACCGCTTTCGTGTCCTTCTCTGCAGCCAGGAATTTGAGTCTGAGCAGGTTCCTGAGCTAACCGTCCGCGACGTTCACAGCGCGAGCTCCCTCTGCAAAATGTACTTCAGGGAGCTCCCGACCCCCCTGCTGACCGACCAGCTGTACGACAAGTTCTCGGTAAGCACGAGGCAACGCCTTTCCTTTCCCTCTTCGCTGGGCCTCTTGGGAGATGGCTGCAGCAGTGCCCCAGCTCTGAGGCCCTTCTTCTGTTAGCCCCATGGGGTTTACTCGCATGTCTTTGCCACATCCTGCATCGTGCTGATGCCACTTCTGGTGGGAGGTGGTTATTTCCATATTCACAGTGCTTGCCAGAATTCCTGTGTTGTTTGTTTGTTTGTTTTTTGCTATTCCCCAGCTATTTCTGGAACAGGAAGGGGATTAATAGCCAAGTGTACTTGGAGATGAATGCCCCCTGCGAGGAGCTGAGCTGCCCAACCAGGCTGTAAACCGGCCCGGTGCTTGGACTCCTTGGCCTTGGTGGCACCAGCTGCGTGCCGCTATGTTTGCCAGATGCCTCTGGGGAGGCCTAAAATCTTTCTCAGTGCTGACCAGCAGCGCGCTGTGCCCATGGTTCCCGACCCTGCGGCAGGTATCTCTCCTGATTTGTGTCTCAATCCCTTTCTGCCCTTTTCCAGGATGCTGTTGGTGCCACTACAGAGGAGGAGCGGCTGGTCAGAATGCGGGACGTCATCCAGCAGCTGCCCGCTCCTCACTACAGGTCAGTGCTGCCCTCAGCCTGCTGAGCTCAGCCCTGCTGCACTTCAGAGGGCAATGGTGCGATTCCAGGCTTTGTCTCACGTGAGCAACGGGATGCCTGGGTATGCTGAAACGCTGCATGGGGTTAAATTGTGGGGTCAGTTCCTGGGCACGGGAGCACGCTTGGTGCAGCTGATGGCTGTGGCTGTGCTGTGCTGGTGCTGGGTGCTGCAGCGTGGCACTTGGTCAAGTTGGGTCTACTTCATCTTCAGCATCAGTAGCAGTAATAACAACTAGTGTGAATTGAGGTTTGCTTTGTGAGTGGCAGCACGGCATGCTGGCTGGTGCTGAACATTTGCCTCTCTTGTTTCCCAGGACCCTGGCGTATCTGATGAGACACTTGGCCTGTCTGTCTGCGAACAGCTCTGTCACCAACATGCACGCTAAGAACTTAGCCATTGTGTGGGCTCCAAACCTCCTAAGGTAAACTTCTTTTTCCGTTTCAACAGAACGCTTACATCTGTTCTCCAGTAGAATAAAGCAGTCCTCCCTTCTTCTGCACCACATGTGCTCTTCTCCTGTAAAATGTGCAGTGAGTGGCTGACAGCAGAGCAGGAGCCTGGACTGTTCTCCAACCCCACGTGGGCACAATTTCTAGCTGAGCATTGCTGCTCTCTTGTTTAGATGGGACTGGTGTGTCCTTGATCAGCCAGGAGAACTTCTTCAGTGGCATCACTGATTGCCCACTGCGGAAGTCTCCGGAGCCCAGTTTGACAGCTTTGGGCTGCAGTAATTCAGACCCGGGAAGCGATCTTGGCTGAATGACTTCTAAAACCTGCCTTTTCTACAGATCACAGCAGAGCGAGTCTGCCTGCGCCAGCGGGAGAGCTGCCTGCACGGAACTGCAGACGCAGTCGGCCGTGGTGGAATTCATCATCAACCACACAGACGTCCTCTTCTGCTCCACATCTGGACCTGACATTGCAGATGGAGCAGGTGAGTGTCTTCCTCCATTAGCTTTATCTTGGTCAGACACCTGGATCAAATGCAGGCCTTCTCCAAGTCCTTTGAAATCCTCTTTTACTATCGAGGGGACAGCAGACTTCTGGGCTTAGGTTAGAATCTGGCTGTTAGGGGCTTAGGTTAGAATCCCTGTTGCTGGATGCTGAGAATGTGCAAGCCCAAACGTGCCAAGGAGAACACTGTCACCGTCATTATGATGTTTTGCAAGGAGGTAAAGCTTGGTGAAAGTGTGGCAGCGAAGCTTTCTCAGTTCCCTGTCCCCCTTTTCTAGGGTTTTTGTTTGTTTGTTTCCACACAGTGAGCTGCTCCTAATTATGACTGCATCCTTTGCCATAGACACACCTCTGAGCACATGGTTGTTTTGAGCTGCTCTTCTTGCAGCGGCTCGGATAAGCAAATCTGAGAGAAACACAGCAGCTCCCCCGGACCTGCGATGGCTGTGCTGCCGCTTTTTGATCCTGGCTCTCACCTGTGGTTTTCCCTTCCAGGGCACAGTTCTCTCTCAGGGCCCCAGTCTGTGCGGGCGTCTTCTGCTGCCACAGAGCTGCTCAGCCTGGAGGAGGCGCAGGCACGGAGGCGAGGCCACAGCAGCTCTCCTGTCGTTGTGACAGAGAGCAGGGACATAGAGGTGGAAGAAGGCCCCACAGCTGTACGGGGGAAATTCCACACAGTCATCGACTTTCCACCTGAAAGGTAAAGAGGACTTCCTGTACCTGGGAAACATTGGGGTTTTCCGACTTCAGGGCCACGTGCCTGAATCCAATTCCAGTTCTCCTCAAAGCAGAGCTGTTGGTCAGACCTGCTGGCACGAGAAACTGGACATGGCAGTGAGATGGGGCTGATGAGCTGTCAGAGTCAGAGATGCTTTTGGAGTTCCACGCACGGCTCACACCATTCCCTCTTTCCTCTCTCCAGACCAAGTCCACCCAGCAGGATGAAGGAATCACCAGCTGGCTGTTGGTGTTCCTGCTTCAGTCTGGGAAAACCATCCTCCGTGGCCAAAGGCCAACCGCAGCGCCGTCCCAGGGAGCCCTCAGAGACAGACGTTGTAGTGCTGGCAGGTAAGGGTGCAAATCCAGCTTTCAACACCCTGCTTTTCAGCAACATGGAATTCGTGCTGTCAGTGGGCTTGTATCTCCTTCTAGCGTTCCAGCCCATACCTGACACCTTCAGTTCTCCCCTGATCAAGAAGCACTTTTGTAATTCAGCTTGTGAGAGTTTGACACGAACCCCTGTTCATTCTTTTATAGGTGATTCGAGCTCTTGTCAACCCAGATGTGCCAGAGCAAGTAGCGATGCTGGGCTGTGTGCTTCCATGAATGGAGAGCTGTTAGGAAGCACAAATGGCTGCGGTTCAGCTGACAGCCTGCTGCATAACAACAGTGGTGGACACAAGGAGCTCATCCAAGTTCAAGCCCTCATTTCTCCCAGCTCTGCTGCAGATGCTGACCTGAGCCCGCCAGACACCACAGGCACCAGCCTGGACTGTGACCCGGTGCCTCTGCAGTGCAGCCCAGCCCAAGCGCAGCCTGAGTGCCCCGACAGCAGCACCTCCATGCAGGAGCAGGTCAGCAGCAGCGAGGAGCAGCTGAGCCTCTTGGAGGGGGACTTAGAATCAAGCCTCCAGTCCCAGGCACCGTGCAGCGGCTCTGACAGCTCTGAGCCACTCTCTCCGTGAGCTTTCCACCCAAGAGAGGACGATTCCCATCTTTACCCGGACCTCTCACGCCCTCCTGTCTTTTCCTTTATTAATAAAAGCACACTTGTGCTCACTCAACGCCTTGACTGCCTGAGGAGATTTCGTTCCCGGGGACTGGGATGAATGCAACAACCAGCAAGGCACCTGAGCTTGCAACGCTGAGGCTGTGGGGTGCATGAAGCAGAGCTCCAGGCTTGTTCCCGTTTTGTCTGGCTTCGGGATGTCTGCAGCTCCCATTCGGTACGGTAGCAAATAATCTCTAGCATCCTGGATGCTGCTCGTGATAACCCCGAGCTTCCTGGCGGTGGCTTTGTGACGCCTTTAAGGGCTTTTTGATGCACTGTGATGCCTTGGCTGCTCCCTAACACCTCTCTTCTCCTGCCGCGTCCATTCCTGGCTCCCAACCTCCAAGCTGCCTGCGCAGATCATCTGCAGCCCCGTTACCATCACGCTGCAGAAGGACGAGCTCATTCAGACCCGGCCTCTCATTGGTCAGCGGCAGCGCTGTCCCGCCCCCGCCTGCCTCTTATTCGTCAGCGGCAGCGCTATCCCGCCCCCACCAGTCTCTCATTGGTCAGCGGTAGCGCTGCCCCCTCCCCCGGGGGTTCCTTGATCTGCGGTTGCTCCGCCGGCTGTGATTGGCTGAGCCGCCGTGCGGGGGAGCGGTCGTTGGGGGCCGGCTGTTGGAGGCGCGGAAGACCTCAGTGGCAGCCGTTGCTGTCCGGGCAGCAGCGAGGCGGAAGCCGCAGAGCGACGGGAGCGAGTGCTGAGGGCAGCTCCGCCAGAGGTGTGCGGGAGAGCTGTGCGGGACAGGGAGAGGAGCCCTGCGCGGCCCCAAGAAGGGGAAATCGCCGTAAAGTGGAGCACGGGAAGTTCCGCCCGTGGACGAGAAGGGAGTTCTTCACGGTGAGGATGGCGCAGCTCTGGAACAGGCTGCCCAGGGAGGCCGTGGCTTCTCCTTGTCTGGAGATATTCCAGTACCGCCTGGACGCCCAGGGAATTTTTTTCCGCTCTCTGTGCTGCCCTCGTGTGGCCGATTTGCGGAACTGCAACGAAGTTTTATCCGTGGTCTCTTCTGCCCTCGTGTGGCCGATTTGCGGAACTGCAACGAAGTTTTTTCCGTGGTCTCTGCTGCCCTCGTGTGGCCAATGTGCGGAACTGCACTGAAGTGTTTTCCGTTCTCTGTGCTGCCCTCATGTGGCCAATATGCAGAACTGCAAAGAAGTTTTTTTCGCAGTTCTTGCTGCCCCCGTGTGGCCAACATACGGAACTGCATCCAACTTTTTTCCGCGGTCTCTGGTGTCCCCGCGTAACCAATCGGTGCCCAACAACGAGCATGTAAAAGCAGATGTGAATTTTGCACGAAAGAGTCCTGTTTGGACTTTCTGCATGCGCGCTGCGGTGAGGAGAATTGCATATGCGCTCTGCGGTGAGGAAACTGACGCATGTGCAGTGCGATGTCCAGGAAGGTGCATGTGTACTGCCTGCATGAAGTCGGTGCATGTGGGCTACACGCAGTAACTGATGCATGCGCGGTGCTGTGCCAAGAAGCTGCATACGCTGTTCGGTGCTGAGCTGGTGCATGCGTGTTACCGTGCCGCGGCTGGTGTATGCGCCTTGCGTGGCAGAAACCGGTGCGTATATATAGCGCGTTACAGAGCCCGGATTTGCTCAAATGTATTGCTTTCCCGAGACATGCTCGTGTCGGTGCTGCTGCACACCGGTAACGCGATCGAGAATCTCCAGAGCCGCTGCGAATCGCTCCGAGCCCCTCCAAGCAACTGCAAGCCGCTCCGAGTCCTTCCGAGCAGCTCCGAGTCCTTCCGAGTCGTTCCGAGCCCCTCCGAGGAGCTGCAAGCCGATCTGAGTCGCTGCAAGCCCGTCCGAGCCGCTGCGAGCCTCTCGGAGAAGCTCCGAGCCGCTCCGAGCAGCTTTCGCACCACTGCGAGCTGCTCCGAGTCCTTCCGAGTAGCTCCGAGCCGCTGCGAGTCGTTCCGAGCCCCTCCGAGCAGCTCTGAGCCACTTTCGTGCCGCTCCGAGCCGCTTTGGCGCCCCTCCGAGTCCTTCCGAGCAGCTCCGAGCCCCTCCGAGTCCCTACGAGCAGCGTTGCACTGCTGCTGCGGGGGCTTTTAAACGGCTGGGGGACGGTGCAGGGCTAGGGTTGGAAGGGGACGTTTGCTGGTTCAGCGGGAGGCGAGCGAGTTGGATGCCACAAGGCGCTGAGGGGCAGCTGTGAGCCGAACCGGTCCGTTTCCGTTCCTGGGTGGGCTCGGGCATCAAACGGCGGAAATAGACGAGGGGCATCCTGGATTAGCGGGGGAGAATCTATCGCTGAGCCGGCGGTCCGGAATCGGCTGCTTGCCCGTAGCCGTAGTGGTTTTTCGAGACAGTTGCTGTTTTGAAGGTGACGGGCGTATATTCGCTGTTAGCCGGAGGACTAATCACCATAGAGAGCGGCGGATGAGCTGCGCAGAGCGGTTAGATCGGCACTTCCGCATTTCTGGGCGCATGTGTTTTGCCGCTGGCGCGACTCGGCGGCAGGCAGCGGCAGTTCCGCGCGTTGGCCACACGGTGGCAGCAGAGACCACGGCAAGAACTTTCCTGCCGGATCGATGCCGGCATTCGGTGGTAGGCGGCGGCAGTTCGGCGCATTGGGGGCTGCCCGTGGGGCGCGTGGAGTGCTGGGAGGAGTTGATGGCCGTGCGCGGTGGGGTGATGGTGCCCTCGGCGCACGGCTGTGACAGCGGGGTGGGGGTCGGTGCCCCCAAAATGGGGTGGTGGGCGAGTTGTATGGGGAGTGCATGTGAAGCAGTGCTGGAGCAGCTTGTGAAGGGTGCAGCCCTGTGAGCACAGGTGGAAGCAAGGCAGCCGTGGGAGCAGATGTGGGACCTGTGGGTCACTTATGCGGCGCTTGTGGGGCACTGATGTGTCACTTTTAGGGCCCAGGCTGCTATCAGTCATTTGTGGGTCCCTGCTGCCCCACTTGTGGGGGTACTTATGGGTCAATTCCTGGTCCCTTTGCCAGTTAACGGTCCCAGGCTGCTGTGTGGGGCACTTCTGGGGCCGTGTGTCTCACTTGTGGGTCCATGCTGAGTCACTTGTGGGGCACTGGGGGGCACTTGTTGGTGACAGGACGCTCGTGGGGCACTTATGGGACACTGATGGGTCAATTATGGGGGACTTATGGGGCACTTGTGGTTCAGTTGTTTGTCCCTTGCGGGGCACTTGTGGGTCCCTGTGGGTCACTTGTGGGTCACAGGCTGCTGTGGGTCATTTGTGGGTCCCTGCAGTGCCACCTGTGGGGCATTTGTGGGTACCCGTGGTGTCATTTGTGGGTCCCTGCGGTGCCACCTGTGGGGCCCTTGTGGCTCCCAGGTCACTGAGGGGCTTTCTGGGTCCCTCTCTGTTTCTGTGGGGTTTGGATTGCTGTTGGAGCCCAAAGGCCACACGCTGCCATACAGGCAGGTGCCAGGGTCACCCCCTGAGGACACCAAACCCTCCAATAACGTCACAGCGGCCTTTAATTGCTGTGTGAGGAGATGACGTGCGTTTCTCCCTGGGGAGCCGTAAGCTGAGCCTGGCAGCTGGGCAGCCAGCACTCGCTCCATTGACGCCGCTCATCTCAGCCCTTGTGCTGCATGTGCAGCTTCTCAGCACCTCGCTGTATCAGCACTGAAATCTGTGCTTCCCTATTTATTACAAATGTCACCAATTGCCACTGAGGACAGACTGGAAGCAAAGTACGTGGACCGTCCTCGCTCGTCCGTGGATAAACCTCCCCTTGCCACACAGGCAGACCCAATTGGCCGCCGGTCATGACTTTTTTTTTTTTACTTGATTTTTTTCCTTCCTGCTTTTAGGGGAACTTTGAGATCACAGCCTGAAGCAGTGATGGAGCACCTGGTGAGGGGTGCAGCCCTGCCTGCACAGGTGGAAGCAATGCAGCCGTGGGGCAGATGGGGCTGAGCCTGGCTCCACCCCTCCCTCATATCATCTTAAGGGCTGGCAGCCCCACAGGCAGGGTTTCTTCCTGGAGATGCCTCCTGTGGATTGCTGGGTGAGCTCTGGTTCGTGGGAAGAGGTCAGCGATTCTTTCTTGATGGCTGTTGGGGTTTTGGTCTCTGCCTTTCTGTGGGGATTGTCAGCTGGTTTACGGTAGCTCTGTCAGCTCTGCCTCTGCTTCTGATGCCTTCCACTTGTTCTCTGAGGGCAGTCAAGGGGTTCTCTGCCTTTCTCTGAACTGGTAACGGAGGGACTGATGGACGTTCCTTTCTTTTGCTCTCATCTGTTTTGGGAATGCTTCAGTCAGCCCCAAGGTGACGCTGGTTGGGTGACTGAGCGTTGCGACTCCAGAAATGCCTGGAGCTGATGCACTGTTCTGTAAAGGGATTCTGTGTTCTGCAGAGTTCCTCTGCAACTCTTTCTAAGCTCAACACCTTCTTGTGACGTCTCTGTTCCCTCTTTCGTGATTCTCATTGTGGGATCTCCAACATGGGCCTCCAAACTCACTCCGTCTGCTCCCACGTTGCCGCAGCCCATTTTATGACACGTTCCCTCTGTGTCCTCACGTCCTCCCTGTGTCCTCTGCCCGTGTCCCCTCTGCGTCTCCTGTGCCACGCATTCATTCCACCTGTGCTGAGTGTTGTTTGAGGGCACGCATTTCAATTCCGTTCCGCGTCTCGTTGGATCTCCTTCTGTTTTGCGGCTCAATGGGGTCGAAGGGTTTCTGGGGCTCCTCTGGTTAGTGGTTGCAGCGCTGTGCAATCTGTGGGGCGGACGCTGGAGTGGCAGGAACCCCTTGTTTACACATCGCTTGTATGCGGGTGGGTTTTGGGCCGGCTGTGGGCAGCTCCCTTGGAGATGCAATGGGGGTTGGTCCCCAGGGCTCGCCCTGCTCCCTGCCCTTTGTCCTTGCAGCCCCATGAGCTCCGTGGCTGGCGATAGAGCGAGGTGCGTGGTTGCGGCTGGGAGCTGAGCTGCAGGAAACCCCCGGGCCCCAGCGGCCGTTTGCTTCATCCTCACCCAGCGCCGTCCGCTCTGCGCTGCTCGAGAATACTGAGCACAAGGATTCAGTTCCT